ACTGGGAAATGACCCTCCCTTGCTCCTATAACCCCACTTGTAGCTACCCATGAATCTCCAAGTAGACTCTAAGTAGACCCTACATCCTGAACCCTAAACCATGAACTAGAGACACTGCTTGCGGTTCAGGAAGTTGGGTTACGGCTTGGAGGGCTTCAAGAGTACTATAGGGGCCTAAGCAACTACCTATACTATTGTGGGGGTTCCTTATTATTTGAGTTATAGTATAATATTCCCCCAAAGCCCCATTCTAGTTATTAAGACCCTAACAGTGGCTTCATGGTTCAGATTGTGCTGTCGTTGTGTGCGATGTCAGGTTCTGAAAGCCCCAAGCCGTGTCTATTTTGGGGCCAGAACCACTGCAAACAGTATTCCATACTCCCGTATAGTCCTGATAAGATAACCCCCCAACCCTGTTCTAATTACTACTTGGAGGTTCATGGGTAGAAATAACTGGGGTTATAAGTAGGGTAACTATAATTATAGCCCATATTAGTGGACGTATAACCCTACTTATAACTACCCATGAACCTCCAAGCAAGGCCTCTACATTTTTCAAGGCCTCCTGCTTGTGCGGCTTTGCTGCATCTCTCACAGGCACTCGGAAAACCCAGGAAAGCTGTCACGGCACACCAGTTTTGCGGTTTCCGACGTACTGAACCGGAGCTGAGGCACAACGGTGTTCTTGAGGTTAAGTATGTGCAAGCAGTCTTGCTTGCGCAAACTAGGTGGACAAAAGTTGTGATGTCCACTGAGCCATGTAGCAAGTGTTGTGTACATGTACATACAGGCATAGGCTGAGATTGAGGCCCTTGATTCAAACGCCCGCCGCGAGTGTGTGTAGATACGTACCGACGTATCTTTCTTCGGCCACCTACCTATCTATCCATCAAGCTGTGAGTCTGATTCTACAACGTAGTATAATAAAGTACAATCTAGTATAGCATAGTAGAGTACAGTGTAGTAAAGTACAGTACTTAAAGGATCATGGGACGTAGTAAGTAGGGCTACAACCAAGGTAACTATACTTATAACCCCAATTAAGGGACTTACAACCTTACTTACTGAGTCCCATGATCCTCCAAGTACAGCATAATACAACTGTTTGTAGCCGGATGTAGCCCCTAAACCTTCAACCCTAAACCCTAAACCCTGAACCCTAGACCCTGAGCCCTAGACCCTAAACCCTCCACTTGCCGGGCGTGCAGGCTTTCGATGCGCGGGGCATCTCGAGCCTTTTCTATGCTGCAGCCCCGAAGTTGGGGTTTACATACTGTTGAAGATATAAATCCTGCATTACCTCAACGACTCTATTTTTAAACTGTGGGATTTTTTTGGGTAATGCAGGATTTATATCATCAACCATAGGGTTCATGTATTAGGGTTTTGGGGTGTAGGGTTTTGGGTTTGGGGGTCTAGGGTTCAGGGTTTAGGGTTTCGGGGGGAGGTTGGAGGTCTTGCCGGATCCTATAGACCTTAGTCTGGAGTAGGCTTGCAGGTGGTATGTGGAGTTTCACCGCTTGGGGTTGAGTTGAGGCTCATGAGTTTTTGAGTTCGGGGTTTAGCTTTTGCAGGTTGAGGGTTGGGTATCTGAGCACGGACAAGATCGGGGTGTCAGGTCATCTCTATGTCAATAGAAGAAGCAGAAGATGTGAGCCACATCTCACCAGTCTTTCTTCAACGGCAGTAATGTGGGAGTTTCCGAAAATAAGGGGTACCTTATTTTGGGGTACTTATAATAAGGATCCTGTTATTTGGGGTACTATCTTGGGGTCCCCTATTTTCGGAAACCCCCATGTAGAATGTAGAAGTCTGAGGTACTACCCATAGTGTTCCAAAGAGTTTCTTGTTATGACTCTGCCATAACGTACCCCTGTTCCAGTCCGAAAGGCCCCTATAGTCATGAAGGCACCTACATTATAGTCATGAAGGCAACTACATGATGGTCATGAAGGCCCCTTCATTATACTATCTGCCCAAGGGGCTTCCGTTCGGCGCTTCAGTGCTTCTGGTGTTTGCGAGCCACTACTTGAAAGATCCGGGTCGGTTCGGCTACCAGTAAGCTTTTGCTCTAACAATATAGATTGGATACTGCCCCCCACTCAGTAACAGCTGAATAATACTCATAATGAAGCCATACAAAGCCCTTAAGCGTAATAGGCTCTCAAAAATTAGACTATTCCTTTGGCCACCCTAAACCCCAAACCCCAAACCCTGAACCCCTAACCCCAAACCCCCCAAACCTAAAGCCCTAGACCCTAAACCCTAAACCCTAAACCCTAAACCCTAAACCCCAAACCCCAAACCCTAAACCCCAAACCCTAAACCCGAAACCCCGAACCCTGAGGCTTCCAAGTTGCCAAGATGCCATAATCTTCCCCAACAGTTCCTCATCTTCGGCTTCGATCATCCCCGAGGGTTCGAGTTTAGGGGCCCCTACAAATTAGGCTAGGGTGCCTTTCAAGGGATCTATAAAAAAGGGTTCCATGAGGGATCTGTGATAGGGCTCTATATTCGGGGCCCTAATAGTTAGAATAGGTTTTGGGGGTATATTTCTACTTTTATTATACTAGGGAACCCCCAAAACCCTATGCTAATTATTAGGGTCCCTACATTACACGAGTTCTCTAAGAGTCTTGAGGTTCCGTGAGTCAGGGTTTTCGAGTTTTGGGGTCGCAAGAGTGTATTGCTCTGCCCAAAACGAGGCTGAGCCCCAAAGCCCTAATATAGGGGCCCAAGTAAGTAGAATAGTGTCTTGGGGGCTAACTAGAAGTATGACTTTATAGTAAGGAACCTAAAGGAAGAGCGGGTAGATTCTAAGCGCTCGAAGCCCTGAATCGCATCTCATTTCTGAGGCTTGGGGCATCATGCGCTTCAAGTCCAAGCTCATCAAGCCTTTCTGCATGAATGCAAGGCGTTGAGGGTTTAGGGTTTAGGGTTTAGGGTTTAGGGTTTAGGGTTTAGGGTTTAGTTCTGGTATATCTTACTGGTGGTACTAGCAGGGGGTGACCCTGGTGACTAGCGATACTGGTGATGCTATGTTTTCCGGCAGTTTGCAGTTCTGGAAGCACGGGTTCCATACACAATACGACTGGCGATACACATAGTCTTGGGACTGCTGGAAAACTGCTTAACAACTTAACTCCATTCTTAGCAACACCACTGCCAGCAGCCACAGCACCACGGAAAGACACTAACAATCGTCATAGTGGTTGCTATTGGTAGTAGATTTACTATATTTTTACTAAATACAGTCCTGGCCCGGCCCCTGCTCTCGAAGCCCTATTTTCCTTGCGCAACGCCTTGTCGTGCAACGTGCCCAGGCGTGAGGAACGTGTCACTACTCTAATGCCCGAAGCCCTAAACCCCCTGGGTTCTTGTTCAAGAGTTCGATTTCAGCTACTACGATAAGGAAAGTATAATCTGTAACCGATCTGAACAAGATCCCAGTAAGCCGGAGCTGGTCTGAAAGCCGAAGCCCAGTGTGGACAGGAAGCGCCTGGATGAGTTTGACCCACAGAGCAGCGGCCCAAGACCATGCCAGCAGCACCAGAATGGGCAATCTTCGAGTTTAGGTCGGCTGCATGATGGCGCCAATTAGCTTGGGGAAGAGTGCAAATCAGCAGTCAGGTGATGATCGATAACGTCGTTGAGCATTGGTAGTTTGTTTTCATGTAAGTCTTTCATGTTGACCTGGAAAATTATGCATCAGCATAAGTGACGCAGTCTAGCCTGGTCGTGTCTCCTCCGTGCAAAGCATCCAGGGGTCGTCTTTTCAACCGTAAACCTGCGTAAACCTGCAGGGCTTTCTCGGTGCATCGACCCGATGTCAAGAGACTTCGCTCTCCTGTTCACCCCAAGTGGGACTTTCCGAAACTTTGGGTACCTTATTTTGGGGTCCTTATAATAAGGATTCTATTATTTAGGGTACTATTCTAGGGTCCCCTATTTTCGGAAACCCCCAAGTAGAGTCCATCCGAGGCCAGCTAGGTTTGATTGTTGTCGGAGAAAGTCCGTGGTGGACCTAGGAGCACGCTTGTGAAGCCTATCGAACAAACACACAGGTCCCTTCCAAAATCCCGGTTATCCTCTAATTTTGTGGAGTGTTAAGTAAAGCTGAGGCATCGCGAACATGGTCTTCGGCATCGGTCTTCTTGGCAGGGTGCTTCAGATGTCGCGCGTACGTGAAGCAGAATCAAGTTTGCTGATATGTTGGATGCACGCACCCTTGGGGGGAAGCTGCTGCTGTGGCTGTCAATAAAGCATGCATCCTGCAGCTGCTCCAGTAGCGATGTGCTGCCAGCATCTGAGCTGCAGATTTTCATGAGCATCCCCGAAGCTTTAAACTTCCTCAACCCGAAACTTCGCAGAAGCCCGGGCTTCAAGTGGGTAGTTGTCAAAATTATGGTCCCTTTTGGGGTACCCTAAATAATAGGTGCCGTAGTCTAGTAAGGACCCAAAAAGGGACCATAATTTTGACAACCACCCAAGTGTCGCCGGATCCGCAACCCCCTCAAAAGTGACAGCAAAGGTCTGAAAGGGGAGGCCCGCATTTTGGATGCCGTGGGCAAAAATGTGTGGGGGCCTCAGTGAAGCACTGAGTTTCTAGCTTCCGTAATGCGCTAAACCCCTAAACCCTGAACCCCAGCTTGCTCTTAATAGTCGTAGTGCGCACCCTAGCTCACCCCGAGACAGCAAGAATTGTGAACTTCTGCAGCCGACGACGACGACGACAGCGACCTTCAGCGGCTAGTCTCGTGTATTTGCATGTTTTTGCACTGCATGAAACTGTAGTACCTTGCGCTCGCCATCTATACAGTACATAGGTAGCATAAGAGAAGGGTGCATGCATGTACGTCTATACTACACGTGTATATCCATATATATATATATATATATATATCCGTGTGTATGTGTACAGGTACAGTTGCATTTATGTAGTTCACGTACATATGTATAGAGGGCGATATGTATGCATGTGTGTGTGTATATGTTTGGTTTTGCTGCTAGCTGTTACATGCATATGATCACAGGTACATATATATATATATATACACACACACACATTGGGTTCTACATGCTTCCATACATACGTACATACATACATACATACATACATACATACATACATACATGTATATGCTTATATTATGTAGATATTCAATTACGATTATATGCATAGTTACAGAAATAGACAACGAGACATACACTTATGATGTATGTACATATGTATTCATTATGTATGTATGTATGTATGTATGTATGCATGTATGTATGTTTACACGCATACTTGTGTGTATAGATACAGGTGTATATATATATATATATGGTTTTATGTGCACTTATCCACATGTTTATGTGTTTATTGGTATGTGCTTATGTGCGTGTATATGTGTTCAATGCATTCATGCATATATGTATGGCATAATTGTAGGTGTGTGTTATCTGTATGCATGTATATATTGTACTATAGTTATAATAAGGAATCCCCAAATAATATAGGTAATTATTAAGGTCCCTATATTAGACAATGGAGTTCGACATATATGTCAGTTGAAGAATAGCTATAGCAAAGCCACAGAAGGCCCCCAATAATCATAATAACCTTATTATAGACTGTTTCCGTATTGGGGCAGTACTCAGTATATCTGTATGATGAGTAGAGACCGATCGACCCTAAACCCTAAACCCTAAACCCTAAACAGGCCAAGCCGACTGGACGAGTTCCATCCCGAGGTAGGGCTTGGGGCTGTAGAGGGGGAGGCTCTCGGGGCGGATAGGGTTTAGGGTTTAGGGTTTAGGGTTTAGGGTTTAGGGTTTAGGGTTTAGGGTTTAGGGTTTAGGGTTTAGGGTTTAGGGTTTAGGAATAGGTCACAAGTTTTGTAAGTACCTTTTCGGTTGAGGGCTTTGGGTTTAGGGTTTAGGGCTCCTTTGTGGCTTGTGGTTTTGGGGTTTTTTGGATTGTAGTCTAGCTATAGCCGTGCTCATGGCCTGTGTTATACTCTACGAAGGGCTTGTGGAACCAGCCTGGAAGGATCCTCCGAAATGGGTTGAACGAGTTGTGAAGCCACCCATTGCAGGAAGTCACCAGCATGGCCGGTGACCAAGTTTTGGGAAACATGTTGCAGGGTGGAGGCGTAGGGTTTTTGTGTTGTTTTTGTCTGGAGCAATGTGATCCCACTGTTGTCGTCCCTCTTTCGCACTACATATATCTACTCTAATGCATACATCCGTAGCTTCGTCGTCGTGGTTTAGGTCTATTGGACGCTTTACTGAGCCTTGAAGCCACAACGTCTTCGTTGCAAGTCGTGTGGGCCTAAATAATTAGAATAGGGTGTTGGGGCCCACCATAACTGCAATAAGGAAGCCCCCAAAATAGTATAGGTAGTTATTCAGGCCCCTACATTAGATTGCACAGGAGGCAATGGAAGCGAAGTTTTCCCAGGCCCCGCGCCACTGACAGATGTGAGTGGGTTTGACGGGAAGCCAAAGGGAGAACTGAACCGTAAACCCCGAATTCGGAACACTGCAAGAGCCCAAATCCCAAAGCCTCCATGGGGTCCCTATACCCTAAACCCCCTAAACC